TTATTGATTTACATTTTTCAAAGAACATTTTCGGGTCCTTTTTATATGACTCAATGTCATTTAGGACATTTTTTTCTGATGCTCTTTTCTTTTGCCTAATTATTCTATTTGACCTTGCGCGAAACTCTGCATATTCCTGTAAATTTGAAGTCGAAGGATTTTGTATCATTTTAGCTCTTGCTGCTTTTCGGTTTTTTATCGCGTCTCGACACTCATTATCAAACCAGTGATTCTTACTTTTTCCCTTGGTAACTCGGAGAGTTTCTGCTGCTTTATTTAGTGATTCCTTTATTTGGGTCCACTCTATGACATTACTCAATTCTTCTTGTATTATGTTAAAGCTGTTCAATCCTTCCTTTATTCTGTTTTGGTATTCCATGATTTCCTTTTGATCTCTTAATTTACTTCTATCTAGTTTATGTGCTGTATTAGGTTGTTGCTTTTTTCTCCATATCGTTGACAGTTTTAACGATAGGCTTGCTATCACTAAGAAGTGGTCTGTGTCCCCATCCGCACCCCTATAGCTTCTGACGTTTTTTATGCTTGTTCGGTGTCGCTTGTCAATAATTATATGGTCGATTTGACTTTTCGTCTTACCGTCTGGGGCAGTCCACGTGTGCTTATGGATGTTCTTTCTAGGAAAATAGGTGCTGCTTATAATAAGGTTTTTCGATTCTGCAAAGCCAACTAATCTCAACCCATTATCATTAGATACTGAGTGCCAGCTCTCTTGGCCTATTGTTGGTCTAAGAAATTGTTCTTTACCGACCTGCGCATTCAGATCACCAGCAATTATCTTGATGCAGTTGTTTGGTAGAGAGTCAAATAATCTCTCTAGATCCTCATAGAAAATATTATATAAATACATTTTTTAAATTTGAAATATGGTTGTTATTTTATAGGCCTTGGAAGTCATTGTGGAATTGAACACATACCTTGTTTGATTGAGAACGATGGTAAGGGCGTGATTTTAATGATATTACCTATCACTACTTTAATAATTATTGTAGCTCTGTTTTATGAGCTTAACTTTGTTATAAACAAGTATATTTTAATTTAACGATTGAAAAATTATAATATTCAAAAACTTATTATGCCTTATGCCTATATGGCCATACACGCCCAATGCCCATTATAAGTTTTAATTGTAATATGATATTGAAAAGACATATTAACAACTAACAATATTATAGTCAAGCCACTTTTGAATATTATAAAATAATATATATAAGTATTAAATAATAATACTTTGTTGCCAGTATACCTTCTTATCAGAAATTAATAAATTAAAATTAAAATTTAATTTATGCATTTAAAAATATGAAATGGTTATGCCTAAAGGTATCGTTTAGTATTTTTATTTAATAATATGGCATTATTGTTTATAGCACGTGACTTTAAATTAAAACATTGCATTTATTGATCGATTATATTTTATGTATTTAGTTCCATAAAAAATATTTAGATACCTACAATTGAACACACTCACACTGCAAATACCTGTCTGAAATTCAATACAATAATCTGCATCATCTTTGTATCAAAATGTATTTGATAATAATTACTGAACAATCAAAATCAATAAAACATAATCTTTATTGGCACACCATTGACTATACCAACGATATTTTTCATTATTTAGTACTTCAACGAAACGCCAAAGTCACGGAAGACGAACCAGGGTTTCCAGAATGGAGCATACCATTTTCCATGCATTGTGATTGCAGACCGCCTTGTTCATTTATTACGTATACGACCGAGCTCAGGTATGAAATTAGGTAAGTTCATCAATGTGAAATACATTACATATTATATTGTTATTATTATTATTATTTAAGACTTCAAATTCGAGATTTATTAGATTATAGTAGTTTAGATATATTGAGGTAAAATTTAGCTAAAGGTATTTTGGTTTTACTTAATTATTTATAACATTTTATTTTAAATATTAATAACTATAATCTGGTATCATTATCTCGTTATCTTATATACTCGTTTTCCTGGTTCAAATGATTCTTTGAGTAAGATGGTAGTTATGTTTGATTTTTATCAAAGTGTTTAAAAATGAGTTTACAATTGCACGTTTCAAACCTGGGTTTGGGCTTCTTATACACATAAGATGAGTATGTCGAGATAAACCTACGTCCAAAACGTACGCTGGTGACTATGGTCTCTTCGTGTCATGTAAGCCTGATTGGCAATTTTTTAGGTAATGGTTTTATGGATTATTTAAATATTGTATATTTACTTATTTTTTCTAATCATCTAACCTCATGTTAATATTCTGACGAAAAAGTCAGATCTTTGTATTTGTGCTAGTGTGGGTGTTGTATGACATATAGCACTCCGTAGCCCCTACACGTCCACATGCACTACCCAAAGTGTGTATTTTACTACATGTAGTATGTAGACCAGATATTACACAGTAAAATTACACTAAACAAAACTTATCCGTGTGTAGACGCAATCTAAATAATATGACTTAATTTTTTTTTTTAGACAATTTATTAATAAAGAACCGTTGTCCTCGAGATACGATGTATTCCTAGAAGTAAATTACAGAGAACTATATGCTACAAGCTATCGTCGATCCATGAGATATACCACTCAAGACTTGTTGGGTAAGTATCCTAGTAGATAAACTATAATAGATACCGTAATATTTTGTATAATTTTTTTGATGCTAAGAAATCACATCTTAAATAGTTTTAAAACTATTTGATGCATTTCATTTATGCTGAAACAGAAGTATATATATATATATATAGTTGAAAAATTCACTAACTGATTTCTTGATTCTTACACGTGCTATGTACTGACGTCCCGCTGAGAC